AATATTGTCAAAATGTAAGCAATTTTAAATTTCTTCGTATATAATATATAGCGGACCTTTCACTATGATTGTTCAGCTAAACTGTGAAATTTAAAAATTGAAGTAACTAAATAATATAAATAGATATTATGCGGCCCAAATGAATTCTACTTGTTAGATAAATAGCCCGTGATTGAAATGAGTTTGACACCCCTGAATTACAGTATGACAGCAAAAGGAATAAAAAAGTTGGCTTACGAGTTGGCAATGAACTATAAAAAATGTATTCCTGACTCCGGAAAAAAATGAATGTTAGTACTACATACTTGTTTACATTTTCTTAAATTTTAGAAGTTTATGTTACGCTTATGTGTATATTAATTTTCATATTTATGTAGTCTATCTATAGACTAAATACAAATGTCATTTAAAAGCATCTATCATTTTAGTTGGTTTTTTTTCAACTTAAATACGGTGTTACAATCATCCCTAGGGGTACGTACTAAAGTAACAAATCAGTGATTTTAAAGAAAGTCTTATTTCAAAAAACTGGTATAATATATTCTATGTTTTAAAGTTTGATTATGTTGTCCAATAATTAAGGTTTCTCGGCGTAGAAGAATTTTTTTTTAATTCTACCGTATTCAAAGATTACAGACTCAAAAAGAAAAATTGTTACATTTGTCCGTGGTCTCTCCTATTCGGTGTATTGCGTGTAAATGGTTAAATTTGCAGGAAGGGATCGTTCCGATCGAACGTGTGTAGACGCGCATGACAATCTTCAAGACAGTGAGAGTTTACGATAATGACCGGCCATGTAATGTGGCTGCTTTTAAGAGCTATTACAGCTGGTAATGACATTAATACGCTGCACAACTTTCAGTTCTTGCAAATGGCCAGATAAAGCCTGCTATCACATTGCTCATTCGGGTTATTGACCTGGAGTATCGAATAGACAATCATATGCAAGGAACAGATGCTTTTCAAATTGACCTGAGGAATTTTGGATAAAATGACCTGTTTGATAAAATTCCTCATCGGAACTGATTTCTTAGATACTGCTGAGGTACACATTAAAAGTTGTAATCAGAGTTGGGCAGAATTTTATTCGAATAATACACAGTGAAAAGCAGCATTATCTAAGGGTGTCGTTCTGAGCTTTAAACAGTTCATGGGATTAAATAATTGTTCGACAAATGTCGATTCATTCATAAAGAAGTATTATTTATTATAAAAATTGAAATTTCCACGTTTAAACAATTAAAAATGACTAAATACTTCTTTTTATCTTTTATTCGTTATTCGAAACTTTTTATCTCGATAATCATTTTGCCCATCTCTGGTTGTAATATTGTAATTATTCCTATCGTGAGCGTATATGATGTTCCTGAAGTATTTCAGATAGATTATAAGAGACAAGATAGACACTGAACATATACCGAACAGCAAACACAGAGCAACAATTGAAAATATGATAGCCAATTATACTCCGCACAAAACTATCGACGTTAATATTAAAATGATTCTAGTCTTAAAGGATAAGGAATCTGTCTAGCAGAGAGCCTGTTCATTAACACCAGCTGAGAAAGAGAAGGTAAACAGTCGTAAAACCGAATAGTTACATGAGAGCATCGCACAGCCTTCTTTGTCCGATTACGCGAGTCCAGTAATATTAGTAGAAAAGAAAGACGGGGGATACCAGATTGTGCATCGATTTCAGGAAGTTAAATAGATAGATTACACGAGATCGGTATCCACTTCCGTTAATAGAGGATCGGTTAGAGTCATTGAAAAATGCAAAAATGTTCAACACGCTAGATTTAAAAAGCGGGTTGTTCCATGTTCCTATTGATGAGAATAGTCGAAAATATACAACCTTCATAATTCCTGATAATCACTATAAATTTTTAAGAGTCCCCTTTACTGTGAGTAACTCATCGTCGATTTTTCAACGCTTTATAATCGCCGTTTTTAAAGATCTCTTACGCGCTAAAACAGTTCTTACCTATCATAACGATTTAATAATACCTTCCGCGGGCAGTGAAATGGGGATAAAAAATCTTGAGACCGTACTGAAGGTTACGAGTGCAGCGGGGTTAGTTGTAAACTGGAAGAAGTGCTATTTTCTTCGCACTAGGGTCGCGTTCGTTGGTTATATTGTAGAGAGCGACTGCATTTCTTTGTCCACACGTAAAATTGAAGCCTTGCGAAAATTTCTTGATCCGACCAACACCAAACAAGTACAAAGCTTTTTAGGACTAACAAGGGAAGGCACAGAAGTGTCCCCCTCCGATTTTGATGAAACTTCGTATGTCTGTTAAGCAGTCAAAAATAAGGGATACGTATTTTTTTTTATCGGCTGAAACGCGACTTTAAGGGGTGAAACCACCCCTCGAAGTTTCGATCCGACATTTTTTTGTTATAAACAAATTATATTTTGGACAATTTGTTAGCACCATATTATTCTACATAAAAAACCGCAAATCTTGTCCATTAGAAGTTTTCATGTATCTCCTTTGGTTTTCGAGATAGTACTTTCGGGTCGAAACTTCGAGGGGTGGTTTCACCCCTTAAAATCGCTTCTCAGCCGATAAAAAAAAATATGTATCTCTTATTTTTCACTTATTAAAATCGGAGGAGGACACTTCTTGTGTAAATGGCTATTTTCGGAAATTCGTGCCTCAATATTCTATTATTGCGCGACCACTTACTAATCTCTTAAAAGCGGATACGAAATTCCAATTCAAGGAAAAAGAAAAACAGTCATTTTTACGGTTAAAAGAAATATTTTGCGACACAACCGTTTTACGGTTATACAATCAAGGCGCAGCGACCGAGCTGCACACAGATGCGCCAATGAACGGTTACGGTGCGATATTACTGCAAAAGAGTGATGAGGATAAAAAGTTCCACCCGGTATACTATTCAAACGGTGAAACGATACCGGCGAAACAGCGCTATACGAGTTGGAGGTGCTTGCAATAGTTAAAGTTTTAAAGAATTTTCGCGTTTATCGCTTGGGCATTTTTTTCTTAATAGTAACAGGCTGTCGCGTGTTCACGTTAACCACGCGTAAGAAGGTCCTTTGCGTGCGTGTGGCTCGATGGACGCTACTTCTAAAAGAATACAGTTCTAAGATCGAACATCGTCCTGGGAAGAGCATGATTCATGTGGATACTCTCAGTCGCAATCCATTGCCCATGTGTATGATTATAGATGATCGTACTAGTATAACCACTAGATTTCAGAATGCACAACAAGAACATGAGAATGTGTAGAAGAATTTTCGATTTAACGAAAAAACGAGAGATTGAAATGATTTACTATTCAAAGAGATGAATGGTGATTTACTCTTAGTCGTTTCGAAGTCGATGCGAGCACGAGTTATCAAGCACGAGAAAGGGCATTTTTCAGTTGTGAAAACGGAAGCAGTAATTTTAAAAGACTATTGGGTCGCTAATGTTAGAGTAAAGATCGAAAGGATTATAAAGGATTGCGGGACATGTATACTTGCTGATAAAGAACAGGGTAAGCAAGTCCTCCGACCAATCAGAGGGCCAATCTGCCGGCCGAGTTCCCGCGGTAGCGTTGGCTACGCGTTGCGATTGGTAACCATCGCTACCTCGGGAACTCGGCCGGTAGACTAACGCTCTGATTGGTCGGGGTTTTTCGTTAATATCTCGTTAACAAAGCCTCGGATAACATTTTTGCTAAAGAAAATGTTGTTTCAAATCATCTTAGGAAGCCCTTATTTTCGGGAGTAGAAGCTATTTTGAGATACCCTGCATATGCGTTTGTCGTCACTGTTAAATTGATGTATTAATAATAAAAAAATATTTTGCTTAAATTTATATAACAATGTATGTACTTGTTAATAATAGCAACACTAAAGGGGAATATTTTTGTATGGCACGAAAATAAAATAGTAAGTCCGCCAGGAGTAAAACTCGAGTCAAGAAGTTAGTAGCGAATTTAGAAAAAAAAATGGTAATTATTGAGAACATGGTTTTCAGCACTGCTTTTAATGACCTTGAAATATTTTGTCAAGGTCATCATTCTGAACAACTGTTAACATTTTTGTTGAAATATCTGTTAACATTTTTTTTAATGAAATGGTTCATTTCATGTCTAATTCGGCTGGACTATAAAGGTACCCCCGTTTCGGTAGTCGAATCCAGGCCAATATCACACTGGGAAACTTTACACTGGGATTCGTGAACATTCCACGCTGTATTCGGAGAGTTTGGTATTTATCTTTAATTGAACAAAAAGTTGCATCTACATTACAAACTGAAAATATACATTTTTTATCTTAAACAGTTTTACACCGTATGAAAACAAAAATATTTCAAAATTGAAGGGTACAAAATATATGTAAGATGTGAGACAAAACAAAGTAAATGGGATCAAGTAAGTACAGCCCTGAAGAAGCAGTAAATGACAAATTTCGCGGCTTGTACTATCATATAGCACTACCAGTGAGAGGGTCACATCTAAAGATACTATAATTCGGGGAGACAATTATACCAAAATTGCAAATACTGAATTGCAGTCAATACCGTCTACTTTTCAGTATAGTACGTACATGTTTACTACACATTAAGGCACGATATTTGCAAAGAAACAGAGCTGAACTTTGTTTGTCCAGCATGTAAACGTGATCTCAAAACATAATACGTAACGATATAAATATTTCGTAATTGTATTTCTTTATTTTTATAATAAAGACACTTCTTAAGCATAATCCCATTTAAAAAAGATTGGCGAAAAGCCGCCAAACTGTTCACATGGTTAAAAATACTAAACACATATATAAATATAACTTCAGAATTAATCAATATTTCTCGGGTAAGTGATGTTATGTGCGATTTGAAAATCTTTAGATTATAACAGTTACTAACTTGCCATACATGAAACACAACGAAAATTGGTATAAAAATATAAATTACTCTTCAATTGAGAACGATTTGAATTTGAGCAGACGATATTTAGGTGCACTGTAACCTACGATCGAGGCTTACCTCTTTGGGACAGGAACCCGCCTGTGTTTCCATATATTGTCGTTCAGCATTATGCCACTTGGAAAGATATCTTTTCAAGGAACCCACCGCCGCGGCAGCTAATCGGATACTTAGATCCGAAACGGTCAAGCGCGATTCATCCAGCGAGAATGACGGCCGATTGAGCGCGATCGGTACATGCACCTTCTTCCTTTCGACACGTTAACCAGACTCTAGTGGAATTATCGTTCCAGTCGATCACTGAAACTTTAACAGAAGCCTACTGAACTTACACGAATTCGGTCGATCACTGACGCGTTAGCGAAAAGAAAAAAAAAAAATAATAACAAACAACTGTTCACTCTCTTCAAGTATCCGTAGACGAAATGTCCGACGTCTTCCACCAAAAATACAATTAACTCGATCGATTGGGTTCGACGGTCGGGATTTTCGAAGGGTTTTGCTAGAGTGTATCGCACAGATGACTCGTAGCTGATTTGTGAATTATTTCGCGATGACTGTCTGTCATTGATTTAAAATTGAATGGTGCGACAGGTGTCAGCCAAGGGTGATAAGAGTCGATCCGTACGCACGGTCGGCTGGTCAGCACGCGACTGGCGGTCGCGCGACGAACACTCGAATATTCCACGCGAGAACTCCGCTCTCGACGAGGAGAGGAGCCGGCGATACACTTTACTCTGCGTGTCCGCTCTCCGTTATTCAGCCGGCCCGTAATGCGATTCTACTCCACATTCACCGCCGCGACCGACGTCGTCCCCACCGACCTCTTTCTCCGCGAGAAAGGCGCCACTTTCCTGGAAGATCACGGGTGCGAGGAGGTGCTCGACCCCGAACTTCGGTTTGATTCTGAGTCAGGTATTTACAATGTGACCCTTCCACGTCTCTTACAGTGCCGGACAAAATGATAGGACGTTCGATGTATTTGAATACTTCGTATAATTAAAAGAAGAAGATGTGCATTTTACACATCCTATATGGACCATTTATTTTGAAAGTGGTGCAAGTCCATTTTCCAATTCCATTTCATTTTATTTTAGTTTACACTAAATTAAGCATAAATTACGTCATATCTCATTTTTTTTTTTCAAAAAAGGACTTACACCACTTTCAAAATAAACGGTCAATGACGTAATTTATGCTTAATTTAGTGTAAACTAAAATAAAATGAAATGGAATTGGAAAATGGACTTGCACCACTTTCAAAATAAACGGTCCAATATTGGATGCGTCCTCTAAAGTCCTTAAATTCACATACTAAATCTCAAAGAGAAGTTAGTAGGAAAAATATAAACATAAGCTGATGTTAGGTGGATAAAATTATAAGGGTTGAAATTAGGGTTGTTTTAGAGAAATATTTTATTAAACTTGATATTAATATTTAGTAAAACTACCTTTTCGTTCTATAACATCTAATAGACGTTTTGGAATTTTCTTATATAACTATTTTATTCGTTTCTGTTTTCATAGGTTCCAGCTTTTAATAATACTATCTTTTAATTCTTTTACGTCACTAAATTGTTTCCTACCCGCATATACACTTCTCACAAGTCAGCCCAAACGTTCTCAATAATATTAAGGTCAGAAGAGCGGGCAGGCCAATCCAAAACTGTCACTGATTTGTTGAACTGATTTTGCAGTGTGAATGGCAGCATTATCGTGCTGGAAAATATAATTGCTGCTTGCATTGCGAACCGCCGACTGGTCTAACCGTTCACCTATTAATTTAATATATCTTTCGCTATTTATAAAGCCTTGCAAAAAATTTATTTGTTTTACCATGGTAGACTATACCGACCCATACCATAACACTATTGCCTCCCACTCGTCGACGGCTTAAACATGCTTTCTCTTTCCTCAAATCGTGAAAGTAAAAATTCAGTCTGTCAGGGCTGTCTAAATGGAGGTTTTTTTCATCATTGAAATTCACATACCTCCACTTCTTTTTCCAAAGAATGTAATACTGTGCAAACTTTAAAAGGGTTTCATCTTTATGTTTTTTATCTAAGGGAGGTAATTTTTTTAATTTTAGCGTTTAATAAGTATGCACTGTTGTAGAATACAACGCACATTTCTTAAGGTACATAGACTGTAAGAACCGGAGCACACCAGCCGTAGGGGAAATATTCTTGGTGTTCACTACCAAGACCACTTGATTTAGTGGAAGTTGGTTAGATTTGCAATTAAAATTACCTTGTCGAATAAAATTAAAATGGTTCAAAAGAAGTGGTTTTAAAAAACTACGTAAAAAAAAAAGAACCTAACCTACACCAGCTGCAACGATTGTTAGAAGCGCAAAATATATCATTAACAAAAAGATCGAATTTTGAAAATGCTTCTCAAATTAATATCTTACAAAGTGATACAAGTGATAGATTACAAAGTGAAATTACACAATAATTAAAAAGAAAAAGTAAAACCAACACATTTTAAGAGATTCGAGATATTTTTCTAACGTAACATATTAATGTAATAGAGTTTTCTTCGAATATTTTCATATATATGTACTACAATAGTTACAATAAAGGTAACATCTAATTGTAAGAATAATTTGTGTATATTTATATAAGAGAATATGTATTTATGTAATATAAAATTTAAATACTGAAGAGGAATAAATGCATTTCCCATTTTTTTAAAATGTTTCTTAAATTAATATTTTTCAACCTTTTATTTCACTGATAGAATACAAATTGAAATTACACAATAATTAAAAATAAAAAGTAAAACCGTCGCATTGGGATTTGAACGGGGTTTTCATCATGTTACTCCCGGCGTTTAGGTTGCTGGGGAGTTTTGACCTGGCTTGGGCCACTCGGCTGTCGCGTCGTAAACATGTGACGTAGGGACGTTTGCCGAGAACACCCGAAGCAGAGCGCACACGGCTGAGGTAGAAATGCTTACGTTAGAGATCCCGAGTAGAGTATGGTGGGGCAGAGCTCACGGACAGGGTAGAATATGCTTGCGGGAATACCCATTGGATGCATGGAGAGGGTAAGCGCTCGCGCGGGTTTCCCACGTTCTGGCATCACTGCGACTGAGCGTCTGAGTCTTCATTGTTATGCTTCTTATAGGCTTCCTTATCTTTGATTCCCATAGTGGGGATGTTTACCAGGGATGAGCCGTGAGAATATCAATTGATTCTTTTGAAAATTTTGCTTACCAAAGTAGTGAAGTATTATGTGAAGAAAAGTTAATTACTTCTAAGATATTTTGTATAAAACATTTGAACTATGTCACGAATTGTTAATTTTTTCTCGATGAAGAAATAAAATTGATACCACATAACTTTTGTGAATAAAATTTTTGTATATTTGTAAATATAATGGAGATAATTAAAGCGATCAAAGTTACTGAACCATTTTTTATAATGCACGTATGATTTAACAAAGGTTCTTGTACTGAAAACAATGTAATCAATAATTGGAATAAAATTGTGTCGTACAAAATGATCAAGAATTAAATTTGTTTAATTCTTTTAAAGCAATTTTATTGTTTCTTTTCTCGCGAATCAGACGTTATGAGCTATATATGTGCCACCAATAGTCATAGATACAGTTATCCAAAAAATTGTTATTCAAACAGAACATTTAAATATGTCGTTGAATTGGTCAGAAATGCTTAATAACATAGCATTAATAAAAATGTGCAATAAAATAGTCTGCAATAAACGAACTTCTTCTGTATTAAAAAATCAATATCGTCTGATACTTAGAATACAATATATTCAATCGCCTACTTTTATATTAAACACAAAAGCAAATTCAATGAGCTATACTATTGTAGCCTTGGAATATTGAAACTTGTGAATATCGGAAGGTCATAATGTTAGGGGTCATTAAATTATTCTGGTAATTACGATTTAATCTTCGTTTTATCTAATGAGATTAAACCCATAATATACTCTGTAGTATGATGTAATCCGTTAATAAACATAAAAGTTATACAATACATGAACATTCTGTCAGGAATAAATTGTATACAAATATAAGAATTATGAAAACATACATGAATATAAATAATTAAAAAAATACGCAGATCGTACTCATAAAAAATTGATGCTGCGATAATATGTAACAAACATCGCCACTGGTATACAAGTGATAATACAAAATTATTAAAACAAAAACCCAATATAGCAGATACAGTGGAGTCCGTTTATAACGACATTCAAGGGATAGAGAAATTGTGGCTGTAAACAGATGTTGTTATAAGCAAAATGAAAATATATATAAAGTAATGTGTATGGGAATCAAACTTAGAGAACAAATTGGATGCAATATGCGATCTGCTGTTATAAGCAGATATAATGTATGGTGTCGAAATAACCCGACTCCACTGTAGTTGATTCAATGTACACGACCATTTACCATCTACATATATTTTGATACTGTTCATGGTTATGTGATCACATCTCATTCAAATCCATTCTTGTCCTCTCTAGATCGAAGATAAACAATATTTTTGACGAGATTACATAAGAACGCTGGTCTCTCGAATAGAACGAACTAGGTACATAGTAGTAGTACACTCGGTTCGATTCAAGTAAGGTCGCGACATGGGATATTTCGCTCGACTCCTCTTTCCACTACCTTATTGTCGATACGTGACGAGATTTCGCATTTTAGAAGCTTCGCGACAGAGTTAAACATAAATTTCACGAACATATCGTTTGTCTTTTTGCCGTCTTCACAGTTGCCTCCCACTCTGCTCGTCAAATCAACCGACGCTTCGCGACGCACACTCGCGTCACACGCGTGTGCGAATCTATGAATTCCTCAGACACATCTGAAATCCGTGGAGTATAAAGGCTTGCAAGACCTGTTTTCGTGATAGCCGTGTCCCGAAGAATCCTGTTACGAGGTGCTCGCCAGGAATAGACACCGTGACAGTCCTTCCACGTCCGGAGATCTGCACGGATTTTGGAACTTAGCCCTGAAACGTAAGTAATCGTCTCGTCTTTTATTCCGAGGGAAAATGATTTAACCTCCTATAAAATATAGATAGAGTAAAAGTAGTTGGAGTTTGATTCTGTTAAACTAGTATGGAATCGTAAACAACATTATCAGTTGAAATTAGTCTGTATACATACAGTAACGCCCATAAGTTTCCGGACACAGTACATTGTCGATATTAAAATGTTACTATTCTTGAATAAATAAAACTATCATTTCTGCTGCTATTTCTCGAATTGAATAGGTTTCTTTGACTTATTTTACAATAGTACCAGGCTCTCCTATCGTTCAGTTTTTCTTTAGAGCTCTAACAAAACACCATCGTCTTACTAACATACTTTTTTTGTTTTACATGATTGATATTCGTCTAAACGCGTAAAAGTACAACAAAAATTAGAATAAAGCAGCTAAAACTTTTTCTTTTTATGATATATAATCTACGTATACGTTTGCATTCAACTTTAATCATAGTACTTTTATCGATATTATTTGTTAATAAATATCTTTTACGTTCTCCTACAACAATTTAATATATTGACTTTTGATAAGATAAAGTTATAATAATCTCTAAAGACATCTCGTATAAAAAATATTCAGAAATATTCGTACAATATTTCTCAGATTTGCATCATACACATATAAGTGTCCGAATATTTCTGGACGGTAGTGTACCTATATGCGTTCGCTGATCATCGAAAATACCGATTATCGGAACACAGATTGAGTCACAAATGTTTTCTGAAAGAATTATTTTAAATGACTCGATCTACATGTTATACTAAGCATGGGAAACATAAAATCTACTACTCTTAAACGAGCTTGAAGTAAATTATGCAGCGCTTTAATTGGCAATGCAATATATTGGATTTAAAATACGTAAATGCAACCGAAAATGACACAGTGATTTTGCTGAACAATTCCGCTTCCCTATTTAAAACAAAACAGATTTTATAACTTTCCTTGACACTTTCCTGAGCAGAAAGGTCTGTTATATTGCGTGCTATGGTTAGATTATCTCCTAGACCTTTAGTTATTGAAATAAATTAAAGAATATCAGCAAAAAGTGGTGCGTTTTCGGTGTCCTTTTCACTTTAAACATATTTAGATGTCTATAATATAATAATAATTTATATCATTTTGTTCGTAAGAATCCAGAGAATAATTTCGTGTCAAAAGAAACTGAATAACTATTACTGTAAAAGCACAACACTGTGCTTTACTTGCACAGCCGCTACTTGAAAATGAATCATTTGAAATAAAAAATTCGAAAAGTTTTATATAGATAGTCTGTTAAAGTATTTAGGAGAAGAAGTCGTTTAAAGTTTTTTGCGTTGTTTTCACTTTAATAAAAAAGTAATTTTTAACTTACATGTTATCGATTCTTGGTCTTCGAGTTCTTTACTTTAATCCTCTTCATTGCATCAAATAAATCGGACAATATTTCTGCTGGCTTAACAATTTTTTATTTGTAACGCCCGTGAGATAAATAATAAATAATTGCCGCTACGTGAGCTACTGTCTGTGTTCGGTTGGTACTGAACTTGAGCGGACCTTCATTTTTATAATATTACTATTTTCTTCATAATAGTCGACGTTCCAAACATCCTCAGTGTTCATTAATTCGGTAAGCTAATATATTGCTTGCGATAGCTGATATGTACCGGTAAATAATAATGAAGACGATTAATTTAAAGGACTCAAAGACCAAGTATCGATAACATGTAAGTTAAAAATTACTTTTTTATTAAAGCGAAAACGATGCACAAAACTTTAAACGAGTTCTTCTCTTAAATATTTTAACATACTATTTATCTTTTCGAATTTTTTATTTCAAATGATTCATTTTCATAGTAGCGGCAGTCATTGCAAAGCGTTTCACGAAAAATGCGCTTCGTGAATACTATGTATTATTGTTGGATAAAAAATTGCTGAAACTTACTGAATACGTAACTTTTTCAACGTAATAACATTTATCAGTACAGTTTTCTAGGTTTGCCCAAAAAAGATTCCCAAACATGCACGTTTTTTTGGCCTTGCAATTGATCATGCGACCCCTTTAGTATAATCTGCGAGAGGTATTATATCGGGTTTATTTTTTTTTAAATATGTTTCACCAATCCGACCAACCTGAAACTTATATAGATAATAAACTAAATAGTACGCGTTACTTCTGATTTTTTTGGTAAGTATCACTCGCAGGGATGTTTGCAAAAACCAACCTCAAACAATTAATTCGTTCATTTCTATCCTTTATTTCGCCCCTGTTTCTTTTGTTGACGCTAAATGTCGTCTCAATATCCTTGGAATAACCGTACTATCTGCTGGCATTACTAATACCCAATTCTTTCTTTCTAACCTTCTTCATTCCTTCCCGAAATGCTTGCTCTGTACTCTTTCGTATGTAAGTTTTGCACATACTCTTCAGAAAAAGTATAATAAATAAATAGCATAGTAAGGGCGTGTTACCCAGACTAAACCGGGTCGTTTCTCACATATAGAAGGCAACATGCCGCACTGATTTACTACTAAACCAATGTTATGCCTTATAGATAATCTGAAATAAATTGAATGAACTTATTTGCAGGATCCCCAATGATACTATTTCACATCCTGTTGCTGCCTCTGGTGGCAGCAGTACCACTGAATCTATCTTTGAAGAACTACGTCTTGAATATCGAGAATGGAACTTTGAAGAATGTTGAATACAGCGGTGATGCTACCACGGAGCTCGATTTGTCAAACATGGAACTCCTGCGTGTTGAGAAGGATGCTCTGGACAACATATCGAACATAAAATCTTTAAGCTTGGCAAATAATTCCATAGAATCACTACCGGAATTCATGTTCTCGAATCTGACGAATCTGGAAAATCTGAATCTGGCCGATAATAAACTCGCCAGTTTGGAGAACCTGTTCGTCCGTCTGGAGAAACTCGAAGTGTTAAATATTTCCTGTAATCCTGTGATGCATCTTCGAAGAGGGCATCTGTTCGGTTTAACAAAGTCCACGACGATTTACACACACAGAAATCATTTCTGGAGTATAAGCACCGGGACGTTCACGAATTCGTTCCTTAAATACAATGAAGATTTGAAGCAGCTGGAGGAAATGAAGGCTGAGGGTGACATCGAGCAGAAAAATCAGGAGAAGGAAAAGCAGATGGACTCTGCCAAAGATGACTTACTGAAGTGCGATTGCCCGCAGTCGGACAAAGTTCAAATAAAGCCGGGTCAAAAATTGAAACTGTGCATTCCTAATAAAATGCTTCTTTCCATAGAGCCCCTGGAAGAGGGTACACAGATCGCTGAAGGAAGTCCGTGCTTAGAGTGGCCAATAGACGAGAAAGAAAAGAAAGTAAGCCTCCGGGGTTTGGGCATCGAAGGCTTTCACGAAGGCTGGTATCAATTGCAATACTATCAAATTGCTTCCTTAGACCTGTCTAATAACGATATAACCGAAATCACCAAAGAATTGCTGAACGATCTTCCCGAGGGCTTGATTTACATCAACCTTTCGGAGAACAGAATCAGGGGTATCTACAATCAGGTGATCGAGAACAGTTACTTGAAAATGCTCAATCTTAAAAACAACTTAATCGAACATATTGAAGAGGGTGCTCTGCAAAAGACAAATTTAACCGGTCTATTCCTGACTGGTAATCAATTGGACAATCTAGCTTTTGTCTCCAGCTTGCCCCAAACCCTCACAGAGCTCGTAATGTCCGACAATCAAATCCCTTCGATTTCTGACAACGCATTCTCCAACCTGCCTCGATTGATGTACTTAAACCTGGATAATAACAATATTAACAGGCTCCAGAATAACGCCTTCCAGGGCCTTGAATCTCTACAGGTTCTGATCGTGACGCGAAACAGTTTGATGGAGATCGAACGTGAAGCATTTGCCAATCTGAGACGACTCACCACTCTGTACCTGTATCGGAACTCCTTAACCAAACTGCAGAATGGAACGTTCGCAGAATTAGAGAGTCTGAAAGACCTTAACCTGGCCTGGAACAAATTTGATATAATTACTAATAACACGTTTGCCTGCCTGCCTCAGGCGCTGGACTTTTTACATCTCGATTTCAACGAGATAAAGACTCTCGAAGCTGGCAGCTTCGTCGATGTTCCTCGGTTCACTTTATCTCTGACCGGAAACAAGATCTCAAGTATTCAACGAGGAACATTTGATCTTCCGACGCTCAAGGACCTCCACTTGAACAACAATACATTGACCACCATCGACGGTGACAGTTACGAAGGTCTGCCTCAACTGAAAAGACTTTGGCTAACTGCTAATCAGATCGTGGAAATACCGAAAGGCTCTTGCAAGAATTTGGGTAGCTTGAATATTTTGGATATCTCGCAGAATCCCTTTCAGGAGCTGAAGAACGGCGCTCTATACGGACTCAACACGGCACGTGGCAATTTCTTGTATATTTATCATAATCAACTGAAGGCACTTGAGGGCGGAGTATTCGATGACGTTTAATTATATAACTTTTTTTGTCAGGTCACGTGATCGTTATTACAAGAGAATGGACGATAGGTTGAATTACATAAAATGTCGCTATTCTTTAATCAAACATTTACAGTTTCTTTTTTCCTTTATTTATTTTCATTAGTACCGTTACTTACGAGAAAATAATACCCCTTTATATTTCTTAGAATTTGCTATATTGGTTTACAAAACTTTGACTTGTCTTTTATAATAGGTTAAGTACTAAAGAGTCCTTTATCGATGATTAACCTTTTACATTCGAGATTTTTCAATTCCTATACATTATATGCATGGTTTAAAGAAAATGGTTGTATGAAACAGTCCAGATATATAAACAATTGGGAATAAAAAATTCCTAAGTTATGACAGGCTTTTGTCGGATCCCTTACATTATTTTTTTCCACAACGAATGACGTTGATCTTTGCCATTTCTATTATTAATGTACTGTTTAGTATATCTTTCCAAAGATTGTCGCATTGTTTCGAAAATACCAGACCTCACTTATTTTAATTCTCGTATCATATAAACTGGTCCACCATGTACCATACTTCGACTAGTTTCATAGAGAACAATTAACGAATTTAACATTTTTAAACCCACAGTTATTAAACATTTCTTTGTCCATAAAATTAGCCGCCATTAAAATTTTACGCAACTTCTTTTGGACATCCTATATAATTTATTTAGAATTTTACGTAGGACCTTTCATTCTTTCCTCAACAGCGTGCGTCATTTGATTCGTAATAAAAATTTCTGGGGACCAATTCTTAAGAACTTTTCATTCATCAAAATAAGCAGTTTTCATTAAGAATGCGCAACTATGTATTAACAATCATTTATTGCTTACTTACATTTACATACCACACATACAGACAAAAATATTCGTACATTAAGAATATGAAAATAATGGAGCTATATTTTCTATATTATTAATTACGCTCCAATATCTATATGTATTTGTGTATTGTACGTTTGTATAGACATTAGTACATAATCAGAAATTGTTCATACATCCAGACTGTGGATATGTTTTAAACAGAAATACATTTCTTTTTGCATTAAACTGTATCTAAGACAGGTTTGGGAATTACTGATCTTACTATTATCGTATTACAGTAAAGGTTCCATGAGAGTTTGAAACTCGGGACCGCTTCAAAATTTTCACGGTGCACCGCGAGTCGTTTCAATACATCAAAAATCTACTTTTTAAGTAGTAATTACTAAAAATCTACAACAACAGCGCGGGTGGGGGGGAGGCATAAACTACGCGCTTGACTCCCCTCTCCGCAGCCTAGTGGTGGGGATGAATTAGATACTCTCATGAGGAACTTCCTGCCCAACACTTATGGAGCCTGTACTGCATTCTTTTTATAAAAATGGACAATTTGAAATCATCACTGGTGCTTGTTAATTACTAGGCAATTATTAACTAACAACTTGGAAAATCAATATTTCGAATTAGTTTAATATATTAATTATTCAAATTAAATTGGTAAACTTGATAAAAAGTATAAAACGCCATATAGAACCCCAGCTATGTAGATACGACATTAAACGCTTGAGCTACCTTAACCCCTTGCCCTACGATTTTCTTGACGTCTACAGTATTTTCTTAAATTCTGTACTTAGCACAACTGTATTTTTACTGTAAAAGTTAAATATTAATGCCAGCAACGTGGCATTTCACTTCGATTCAAAGAAAACCGAATAATATTCTTCTTTGTTGAATCGATTTTGAAATCGTCAGCACGAGTCTGACTCGATATTATAGGACAAGGGGTTAACACTTTGTATGTACATTACACCCTGCGAACTGTATGTTGTTTTCCTCAAAACGTCTATAACTTCGTTAAGTTTTCCACTTCGAGTAAATTCATTTGTAAATATATTTGAGAAAACTTATACTTTCAAAAAATGTGATAGAGAACATGATTTTTTTCAAGATATAAACTAGAATACTCCCTTAGATACGCAAGATTAGAAACTGCATGAATACACGTCGTAACATTTAGTGGGTGTGCTGTTTCAAAAAAAAAGCGTGTAACAGACTACTGAAACAATGATTATCTCATTCAATTGATACAAAAAATTAAAGTTTCTACTGAATATGCTATCATTTTCTTCTGTCGCATTTAGTTATTTACGTATCTTTCCGTAACTTCAATAGTAAATTTACCCTCCATACGATATAATGCAAACAAACTGTATTAAACGAGCATATTCTTTTACGTATTTCATGGAACACTGTACAAACTCTCTAGAAAGAGTATGATAGAACTCCACCGTAAATATTCACGATGAAAATCGTCGGAAAATGCATGGTATGGTAATTTGCAACAGTACACTAAAAAACAAATAAAACCAGCAGAGGTCTCTCTGTAATATGGGCGATAGAATTTGTGATACACCGGGTGACATAATGAAGTATTTCTCAATATATGAATACTTATGAATTGGCACGTTTGTACTTCACAGTCACTCGATGTATGATGCTCAATCGTTTAAGACGTTGGTAACTAAGGTAACCGAAAGGAATATGCGCAAACAAGACCGAAATTCGTCATTTCGCAGTTATGGTCTTATTTGGTTTTTAGTGTAGAGCGCTTCGGTAGCAATTACATTTACAAACAATAGCAGAATCTTCATGTGCGAATGACAGAAATCGCTACGTAAGGGCTGTTATAAATTTTAGCCTAATTGCGAATAAGGGGCGTTTCTAATTGTAACGGGAAGCAGACGAACACGTATTGTTTCGTTATTGCCGTCTCTCCTTCGGGTAACGACAATAGAGGTATTTTTCAAGTTCGGAACGCGATTGCTCGAGTAAGACGACGAGGCAAAGGATGCGGCAGTTTTCATAAACTGGTTACACGTTCGCTTTCTCCCGAACGTGACTACAGCCCGTAAATAGATAGGTACATATGCATATGTATAACGTATGGCGTATAATATGATGCTTGTGGTTTACGATCAGCTGGCCTTGCCTTTCACGCGAATCTTGGGATCGCAGGATGCGACCGGATTCGAAGAAGATCGGAAACACTTTGCTCCGTCATCGGAAACATCTCATTTTTGTCACCCATCGTTAAATGATCAGTATCACTTATTCGATGAACGGTATATTTACATTCCTGGGGCTCTTAATAACGGTATATTTAGAATCCTGGGGGCACAATAATTTACCAACTGCATCGTACTATTAATGAATTTACAAATTACAACTTGTACACTTCTATTGCACAAACAGTTTATATAATTTTACAAGTTACAAAATTAAATCATTAATGTTAGTAGTACGTTTTACAAATGTTCATTGAGCAATGAATGGGATTTTACAAATTATACAATTATATAAACTTAGTTGTACAATTTTTGCAAATCAATTTTACGCTCGAAGGAGGAAGTCAGTGAACCCACATTTTGGAGCTTTCTCTTCTGATGATGCTTTTTCTCCGGACAGTGTTCATTCCGGATACGACGGCAGCCCTTTTTTTTATCCATGCTGTTGAATTTACTGGCCTACATTCTCCAATATAATTTACGACCGATGAATTTCTCATGGGTTTAACCGTGGTCTGAGAAAAAGGGGAAGTGCATTTATAAAGTTGCAATATACATACATGGATACATACATATGTATACGGTGACCCGCAACCAATAAGTTTCTGTAAGAGTTTTTAATATTGACATGAGCATATTGTATAAGTTTATAATAAATATATGATATGGGAAAATTTGGCTCCACTACTTCGATTCATACACCTTGCCGTCCACTACTATGTAACACTGTAATACATATTTACACAGGGCCACTCGAATAATTTATTCCTCAATACATACTATAAAACTTTATCCGTCACATATCGTTGCTGAAAAGTCACTAATATATCCCATTCATTATCCTTAAATAATAAATGAAAGTAAATTAATTTTGGGTTAATATAAATGTATGAATTTAAATATATAATAAAACCTGAAAAACCTAAAATAATAAATAAAAATATATAAGAATATAATAAAACAATATCATTGGTTGTGTGTTATACGATGAAACTTGTTTAAAAAATGATTTACTGTATTCCATCTCAAGTAAAATCCATCCAATACCAGAATGCCATCAATCATCCAATAAAGAAAGCCTCGAATTGTCTCCTGTGGCGTCAGAATCGGTGGATTACGCGCTGGTATACTTAAAATGTTTACCTGCCGACTTATAACATGTTGTCGAGACGTTAGACGGTAATCCTGGTAGACACACGTTCGATAACCCTAAGAGATATATACCGTTGCCAAACCGGAAGTAGAGAACACGGGTATACAGTGTCAGTGCCACGAAATTGCTCGGGACCTTCGCCACGGAACGAGAAACGGCTGGTATGTGAGAACATGCGTCTTTGTCAGCGCTAGAAGAATACTTAGCGGTGGGAATAATGATTTCGTGAATAATTTTGCTAGATTTTCAAGTCATCCAGTAAACAGGGCTATGCGGAATGTTGGGTACACTTGTGAAGTGGTAGGAACCGTTGTTATTAAATTTTTTATTGTAATAAATGTGAGAATTTGTACAGATCGCGCGTCTAAACGATGGTCGATAGTATTATGTACATTAAAATTATACACGTCGCGTAATTTATGTAGTATTATGTATTAGTATTAAGTGCAGTATTACGAACAAATATGGATCGTCTTCCGTGTGTTGCGTATGTATCTATTTTTCTGGGAAATATTATTGTAGTCCCATAAATCTGCGCTATTTGAGTGGGCTGAATTTGTTTTAGAACAGCATGTAATAATGTCCAAATATCAGTCATCAGTAGACTGTGACTTCATGCATTTATAAAATCTGTCACTGTATAAAATTTAAGAAAATAAAAACAAGCATAAGATGATGAGACTTTTATTATAATTTTAACCTTTCAAAGTCATTAATAGGTAAAATTAATTTCCTTTTAATTCCAGTATCGTTAAATTAATTTATAAAAGTACAAAT